ATCGAATAAAGAAACATCGAAATCAAAAAAACGTTGTTTGTGAAACATCGATACATCGTGCGCATCCCTACCATACATAAAAATCTTTTTTCACTACTAACCTGAGAAATAGTCATTAGTCAATCTATTTTTCTAGGGAAAAATTGAAATTCTTTCCTTAGGTGAAAGATGAAAATATTGAAAAAAAAACCTAGGTCAATAATGAAAATGACGTCATGACGCAAGGATATTGTCATCACGTACCGGGTTTCTATCGGTTTAATTTCAATGGCAACTTGTCAATTGAAAAAAAACACAGGTTTCTGTATGTACATGGGAAATTACCATAGGCTGTTGATAGAGAGCAGCACTTTCGACAAGACATTCAGAAAAAATCAGTGATGGGCATCTACGGGTAAATAAAGATTGTCTTCGTCTGGTGTAAACAACGCGTAGACAATGTAAACTATGTAATCTATGTAGACAACGTGTAAAATATGTAGACAATGCGTAAAGTATACAATTTTTGACAGTTGGCAGGACTTTAAGGTTATGTTTCTGTTTTTGCTTTGTTTTGTTTTTTACTTTGTAAAGTTAATTTAACTGCAGATAATGTCTAATTTGATACAATATAAATTTAATGCAATGCAAACTTTCAAAAAAATTACTCAAATTTCAAATTTTCTGTTGTCTACATAGTTTACATAGTCTATATGGAAAAAAGTGGATGTAAACAATACGTAGACAACGAGTAGACAAACCACGTAAAGTAGATTTCATAGTCTACGGCACATCCCTGGAAAAAATAGTAAAAAAAAATTCTATATATTCCTCGGTAGAGAAAGTCATTATACAGTGTGTTTCACGAACATCGAGACAGAGGCGTTTTAAGGTATTTTAGGGTCGATTTAAAAAAAAAAACGCTTGGACACGTCATTTAAGTATTCAAGGGGGAAACTTCTTGACTCCATCGATATTTCGCTAGAGTGCACCCCCCTGGGTGGGGTGACTTTCATCCCTCTTTTTAAGATAGAAAAGATGGGTCGAGTGGTACCTTGTTTCAAAGGTATTTTGATTCTCGTCACAACTGCGTATTTTTTTCGAAAATTGAATGATTAGTTCCCAAGATATTCATTGTCAAAGTTGCCATGGGCTAAATAAGGAACAATCCTCTGGCCCTGCTATTCTCAAATTAACACTTTCTTCTCTTTCCTCTCTGACACGTCAATTTTAATTTTTTGTCTTCTTCTGGAAAAATGAAAATTGACGTGTACGAGAAGAAAGCCAAGGAAGTGTTAAGTTGAGAATACCAGGACCAGAAGATTATTTATTATTTAGCCTATGGCAAATTTGGCAGTGAAAATCTTGAGAACTAATCATTCGATTTTCAAAAAAAATACGCAGTTGTAACGAGAATCAAAATACCTTTTGAACAAGGTACCACTCGACCCATCTTCCCTATCTAAAAAACAGGGGAGGAAGTCACCCCACCCAGGGGGTGCACCCTAGCGAAATACCGATGGGGTCAAAAAGTTTCCCCCTTGAATACAAAAATGACGTGTCCGAGCTTTTTTTTTTTAATCGACCTTAAAATACCCTAAAATGCCTCTGTTTCGATGTTCGTGAAATACCCTGTATACCTTGCGCATTAAAAACCTCAGCGCTTTGCGCCTTTGGTTTATACATAAAAGCGCTCGGTATGTAATGACTAACTTCTCTACCTAGGTATATAATATACTAATCTAGGTCAATAATGAAAATGTAGTCATGACGCAAGGATATTGTCATGACGTACCAGGTTTCTATTGGTTTAATTTCAATTTCAAACTGTTAATTTGAAATAAAAAAAGGTTTCTGTATGTACATAGGAAATTACCATAAGCTGTTGATAGAGGGCAGTACTTTCGAGATGGCATTCAGAAACAATAAATTGATTTTTGTTGTATTTGTGATTTCAAACGTATTTCTTATTTTTTTAGCAGTAGTAAAAAATATATATTCCTCGGTAGAGAAAGTCACTATATACCTTGGGCATTATCAACCTCGGCGCTTCGGGCCTCGGGTTATAGAAGCGCTATATAAGGACCAACTTCTCTACCTAGGTACCTGAAGGTCCAAGATAAGGATGAGATAGCATTAGGATCTGGAGAACGGGTGGAGTTACAATGTTGGTTAGATTAGGAAAAAGTTGCGCAATTTAACGTTCAATATAATGGTATTTTGACATTTGAAAAATTCCGAACAATTTCGGAGATATGTATCCGGAAAAACCCGAAATTTTGCATAATCGATTTTATTTTTTCCTGAGCTTATTTGAGGAGATATTTCAAAATAAATGTCACTTCTCGTCGTAACAACTTTTTCTACCCTACAAGATGACATTTTCAAATTTAAAATCTGACGTTTCGTCTTTGGGCCACTATCATCAACTTCATTTTTTTAAATACGGCCCTTGATTTTTTATTTCATATTTTAAGAGCTTCTGATGCCCCAAAACCTATGACGTACCGCATTTATTGAAAAAAAAAAATTATTTTACTTTTTAGTAATTTCCTACCAAAATTCTTTCCTCTGACTCTCTCTCTAACACATTAAGTTCTTATGGAAAGTGCCAATAATATAAATTTTTTGAATAAGTGCAATACGTCATTGATTTTGGGACATCAGAAGCTTATTAAATCTAAAATAAAAAATAAGGGTCCGTATTTAAAAACACTGAAGTTGATGATGCTGTCCCAAAGACGAAACGTCAAATTTTGAAATTGATAATGTCATCTTGAAGAGTAGGAAAAGTGGTAACGATGAAGTGACATTTATTTTGAAATATCTCCTCAAATAAGCTCAGGAAAAAATAAAATCGATTTTGCAAATTTTCGGTTTTTCCGGATATCCCGGACAATGTTCGGATTTTTTCAAATGACAAAGTACCATTTTATTGAGTGTTGAATTGCGCAATTGCTTTTTCCTAATCTTCCTAACCAACATTTTAACTGCAACCTTTCTCCAGATCCTAATGCTATCCCATCCGAGGGGTGTGACACTTCCAAGTACACCTGATTTTTGATTTTCAATACTTTAATGGAAATCAAAAATTAGATTTGGAAAGTTTCATGATTTCAATTGACTTCAACGATTTCCTGAGATGATTATTTGATTTTACTTGATTTTGCTGATTTCACTTGATTTTGTTAATTTCATTGATTTCCCAGATTTACATTGATTTCGCAAGAATAAATGTGATTTTACTAGATTCACATGGATTTTATACTAGAGTCTAGCCATCACATGGAGTAATATTTTTCAATTTTTAGCGTGGTTATTAGCATTTTTGCAAATAATCCATAGCAAGACCTTTTTCCAAAGATAGGCAACCACTCGGGCAACCAAAAAAAACCGGGGTGCTGTTGCCACCTTAAGGAAATTTGCTAAGATTGCGAGTGATTGTGACTGATTGTGAGTGATTGTGACTGATTGTGTCACGATTGTGACTGATTGTGTAAGGTATGTGAATGGTTGTGTAAAGTCTATGTATAATAATTGGATTAAAATAAAACAACAAAACAAAAAAAGGCGCGAATTTTGAATATTTTATTAGTAGAGGCACTGCCAACAAATTTTATGTGATTTGTGATGATTTTAAATGATTTACAAAGATTTTCTTAAGTTTGATTGATTTTTCGGATATACATACTTGATTTGCATTGATTTCAAATGAATTTAGGAGATTTCTCAAGATTTTCATGATTTTGAGAGATTTAATGTGATTTTACTTGATTTTACAGATTTCAGTGATTTCTATTGATTTATGAGAGTTTGAACAAAGTGTGCACCTGATTTCAGGAGTGTCACACCCCTCGATCCCATCCTTATCTTGGACACACTATAATATACTAATATAGGAGTAGGACCATATAGAAACTTTCATTGTCTGCATGACGCATGTTCGAGATTGTCAAAAGCGACGTCTGTCAATAGACGGGTCGACAAACAAAACAATAGGGCAATCCAACGACCTGTCAAAATGGAATTCAAAATGGAGGCCAATGCCTTTTTATTTAAAAAAATGCCGTTTTATTGCGATTTTTGATTTCTATAAAGTTTCTAAAGTGTTGATTTTTTGGAAAATGCATACGTTATGTATTGTACTTAGTTGTGGGGCCGTTTTAATCGCGAGAAAGTCAAGTTTCATGCCGTTCCTGCAAAGAAAAAACACAGGTTTTTAACGGAGAAAAACGATTTGTCTGTACTTTGTGAAAACTTCATGGATTGTAGCAAAAGAGAAAAAATCTTACGAAATTCATATTGAAAAACCAAAAAGTCTCTCTACATAAATGGTGTATAGTGTATGGATCCAAGTCATTTACTATCCTCCACATCAGCTTGTGTCGATAACTTGAATAACAAACAAATAAAATAAACATCAGGATTCAGGATTTGGTTAAGAAAAAACTAAACAGGAAACAAATCCTGGATAGTACCTACCTAATTGTTTAGTAGGTAAAGGTTTGTCACAAAGAAATCATAACTTTTGCAAACATCCGGGTTTTCCACTAATAATTTCTTTCCATCTTAAAATACGAAAATTATCCTTCCAAACACTAGAAAATCATCTAAAAACACCACAAAATACACAAAAAACAGTTTTTTGATGAAAAATGTCACGGTTGTTTGCATTAAATTTATGGCGCCAATTTTTTGGCATTGCCCATGCATTGGCCGCCATTTTGTTTGGATTGCCCTTATAGTCAAATTGAAAAAATTAATAACATTGATGTTGCTATTTATAGGTTATGTGACTTTGTCGACTTTCTGCCAAAGTCAGTCATAATGAAATATTCTATTGGATCACTTCTGTGTCGAGTGTTGACGACAATAAAGTTAAAATTATAGACCCCTTGAAGAAAAATATACAAAAAATCTACATAATATGTATTATTTGTTAACAAAAATAAACTTTCTTTAAAACCTGACTAATGATTTGGGGAATTTTCATCTTGTTCTAAAAATTGGAAGATTTTTACCTGTTTCTTATTGCTCTGCTGGTACATCGTGGTTTGCGTACAGGGTCCGCAGGGGGGCTCCAAGATGGTATTGATTTCGGACTGATCAGTGGCACCTTCTGCCTCACTGGTTTTCTAAAGGACCTGGAAAATTGTGTTTGGTGGACAGGAGATCTTGAAGACGACATCAGCGTGGTTTCCTGGTCAATATTTGGCTTGGGACTGACCGGTGGCCCCTTCTGCCTCACAGGTATTTTGGAATAACCTGCCAGATTGGCAGAGGGCCTCGAAGACGGCATCGGGGTGGTTTCTGGTGAATTTTCTATTCCATTTTCTGGTGGCAGCAGGAAAGCTGGTGCATCTGGATCTCGTTCGGTACTCATTTGTGGGTTTTATTAATACATTTGTTGGAATTATTATTGAAGACAAATCTTAATAATTTTTTTCAACTGAGACAATGACAATACTGAGATCAGATTGTGAATGTCAATATTTTCAATGTTGGCATTACAGAAATCTTTAATTTTCAACAAAACGGAGAGAGGTGATTTCGGGTTCGCTGTTGGACCACTCGCTAGCTATTCCAAACTAATCTTGTTGCTCTTTTTGTCCAATTGGGTATCGAATAGGTAAAGAACAGTAAGCAACAAGAGTTCTTTTTCTACGACTGCTCTAGAAAGCTATTCAAATACAATACTAACTCAAGGATAATACACGCTACTAAGGATTGTTTATCGGCCTCATTTTTGGTAATCGCCGCCATATTGGTATGTCGCCATTTCCGACGTCATAACTAAGTCGTCAGCTGTTTGCACTAGTGGTCGTAGTTCAGAATTTAAATTTATGATGAAAAATATTATTTAATTTTGATTAACATAATAGGCAGAACGGAAGATGAAAACGAGATCCAAAAAAGAATTGTTTTAGAATGTTAATTAATGTGGTAAAACCAAGTATGCATAAAGCAAAAGCCCTCGGAATCATAACTTGTGGTGCAAACAGCCTACGTCAAGGCGAGAAAGGACATGCTGCTACGTCACAATTGATGATTGAAAAGATGATAGAAATCAATTATTCCACAAAGCGTGCGGAAAGTAATTTTCACACGCTCCGTGCGGAAAGTACTTTTCACACGCTTCGTGCGTACCAAAATGATACTTCCACTGAATTTTTGTTCCGCAAGTAACTCTGAGTGCATTCAGCGTACGTACCAAAATTGTTCATTTTTTTTTTTCAATAAAAAAATAAATTAAATCACAATGTGAATATACCTAGTTATTTCGCAGTCGTAGAAAAAGTATAGTGTGCAACGGGTGTGAAAAGCACTTTTCACACTCGTGTGGTTTCTGCCCCCACGCGTGTGAAAAGTGCTATTTTCAACACTTGTTGCACAATATACTATTTTCTACGACTGCTCTAGGAAGCTACTAAAAACGCACTACTAACTTACCTAGAAAACCAATTATTCCTTACAGCGTGCAAAAAGTACTTTTCACACGCTAAAATAAAAATCACACTTCCGCAGAATTTTCGTTTTGCAAGTAACTCTGAAGTCTGAGTGCATTCAGCGCCAGGTTCCTAAAGTTGATAGGTTGTCTGATAACAAGGATGATACACACTACTACTAGAGGATAGCCTATCCTCATAAGGCCTGAGTGTAACAAATCTCCCCCTTCCTACCCGGGCCAAATTACCAGTTGTGACGTAGGCAGCATGTTGTTTCTCGCCTTGACGTAGGCTGTTTAAACAGCTGACGACTTGGTTATGACGTCGGAAATGGTAACACACCAATATGGTGGCGATTACCAAAAACGAGGCCGATAAGCAATCCTGTAGGTGTGTATCATCCTTGGTCTGGTAATGGGTAACTTGATGACGCATCTGGTGTGGCTAATATGGAGATTTCCATTATGTTGAGGCACCCCAGATGACGTCATAAAAGTAATCAGGCAACCTACCTCCCTCAAACAACCTTGCATTCAGCGGACGTACCAAAAATTGTTCCCTAATTTTAACCTTAAATGATAATTTTTACACAAAAAAAAAAATGTAAAAAATTTATCTCAATGCGAATATATTTATTTCGCAGTCGTAGAAAAAGTATAGTGTGTAACGCGTTAAGCACTTTTCACACTCGTGTAGTTTAGGTTATAGGTGCTTTTTTTCTGAAATTGTTCTGGGTCTGTGGTAATTTTGCGTAAGATAAAAGAAGAGGCAACACGCGAAATGTCTCTTTATTAAAACATGATAATTTATCGGCCAATTTATGCTTATTGGGTGAGCCTTCTCGGGTGGCTGGGTTGTTGTGATTGAGTGCCTGAATCAAGGCAAATGGCTGATGAAAAATACTTCGACAATTCTGTTTCTTATTTATTTTTTAGAAAAACCAATAATCCTGGTATTCTTTCGATCTGAACAAACTGATTGTGATCACATGAGGTTTGTTCATGAGGCGTCAGCTGGGGCCAATGAAATCGTTGTAACACCGGATGAAAATTGTTTGAAACAAACCCCAAGTGTCTTCGATCAGTTTGTTCAGATCGAAAGAATACTTTTAATAACCCCATCAAACAGATGCATTTATGATATACGGATTACCAATAATACATATAAGGCCTTTTCGGAAACGCAGATTCGGAGTGCGTTCAAAGACGGTAATGCTAATGCCAAAACCTACTTTTCCCCTTCTACCGGCGATGCCAAATCTGGTGTGAATTTGCTGGAACGTGAAATACCGTTTCTCAATTAGGCAATCCAAATCACGTGACATTCAAGATGGCGTGGCGACCACACATGGACCAAAAAACACAAAAAAATATCTAGTTTCTGCCCGACTTGATAGTTTACGTACCTAGTTAACAAATATTTTATTGAATAATCAAAATCAAAGCTGCAAACTAAACAAAATAATTGAGATATGCATGAAAACACATATTCAAAACTAACTTGCTGACCGCCACGCCATATCGAATTTGGTCTCATCCAATCAAAATTCGTATAACCATTTCTAGACTCAGTTGAAAAAGCCTCCAAAAGTTACTTTACCGCGGCCGATTTGGAACGTGTAAAGCCAACCGTTTTTCGCACGCTGGAACCGAACTTGAACGCAATATGCCAATTTTGGCTCGGCTTTAGCCGTTTTTGAACGCAGCCCCGGTTAACCTGTTTACCAGCTGATGTAGGTACTTTGTCTTTTTTCATTCGTGTTGATTAAAGAAAGATAAAAAACAAACCGCTGGTGATCTGGTTAATCGGATCAACGTTTCCGAAAAGGCCTATCTACCTCTTTTCTAACTGTTAAATTAGATAAAGATAGAAAAAGGTTGACGTAATTGTAGCACTCCGAATCAAATCACGACGGGTTCACAACTGTCATAACAAATTTGTCAAAATATTGTCGATCGTCATAAGTCATATTTGACATTCGTCATCGTTTTGTTTTCGATTACAGCTAACAAGACATTGTTATATTTTAAAACAATAAAGCATATTTGGACTTTGACTTTGTACATGAGAGTCTCTTGGACAATGATTTAGGCGGCGTTCCGTATCTTAACCAGAGTTACCGATTGGTATGGAGCGGTTCGTCTATGGAGACAATCTGGTTCCTGAGAATGCGGTTTATGTGTGGAACCGCGTTTCATAACCTAACCAGATTTCGGGAGTGGTTAGGTTACGGAACGGGAACCGGAAAAACCAAGAAACTTGGTTAACTTACGGAACGTCGCCTTAGATAAAACTTTAGGTTTGTAACTTGTCAGGTGCTGGATTCTATCTTACGAGTCGAGTCGAATTGTCCGTTATGACACTCGATATCGAATACGACAGCTCCGGACGTACTGTGTAATACGTATCGAAAAATCGAAGAATGAATCGCTATTTTGATAATTCGATACGAATTTCGACTCGACTCGTTAAATAGAATCCGGCAGCAGGTTAATCAGTTGTCGGCATATTATTTGAAAAAATTCAATTTTGTGTCTGTAAATGTCACTCACGAACATTTTAATACTCGTACGTATTCGTTACTTTTGATATCGATATTCGTTACTCGTTACTTCTGTCAATCTGGGATTCAAAGCTGGGCAGAAAACAGTTAATTCGATATCCGGTAATAACCGGATTTGAAAAAATTGCTTAAATCTAACTTTCAAGAAAACCTAAAAGTTTTTAACGGTTTTCTTAACTTTCGTTACATTGGACTTCCGTTAACTTTAGTCCGTTGCGTTGCGTTCGTAAATGGCGTCATTTTGCGTGAATTGTGCGTCAAGGTCAATCGTGACAGTTCGCACAGGCGCAGAAAGATTTTTGCGCTGTGTTTTCTTCTGAATCGATTCCCAATTTTCAGTTCGCTCTTTTGGTTTCTGCACTACTCGGTTTGGAAATGTTCTGTAATGATTCTAGCTTTGTTCTGGTTTCGCTCAGAACTAGTTCGGAATCATTCTGCACATGCGCATGTTATAAAAAGCGTTTTCGTTTTTTCAGAATAGTAATCGAATTGTGTTGACAGCGTTTTGGATTATTTAGTTAGAACCAATCAACGTTAGAACCATGTGAGAACAATTCTGGGATTATTCTAGAACGGTTCTCTCAGTTCTTGCTCTGAAGGAGGAACTCTTTTGGAATTTTGTGATTTGCAGCTTGTTTTGTTTTTATTTTTTGTTTGAAGAGTTGGTTCAGAACTAGTATTAGAAGAGTCCTCCATTATTTTTTCTGCGCAAGCAGTTCTGCTCAATCTCAGAACCGTTCCAAATTTCGAACCAACACAAAGCTCTGACTCCAAACCCGATTTCGTACAGTGAGATCGATGCGCAAGGCCTTAGTTCTGTTGTTAGGTAGGCTGTGGCCAATTAGCTTCAAACATCAGTATAACTTTTTAACGGATAACTTTAACTTGCGTTATATCCTCAAAAATTTAACGATAAATGATTATCCGAGTTAACTTTCCAAGTAGCGAATTAATGATTAACGAATTTACCTTGTCGATTTACTTTGCCCACCTTTTGCTGGTACATATTTATAGAATAGGAAAGATACCTACCTATGCTTTAAAGAGTAGAAAAGTGAGTCATTACATTCATCCCGATTATCGAATAAGTATTGCAGGGATTTGTATTTTAATATTTGGTAATAATAAATATATATGTATACATGTTTAAAAATATCTTTATTATGTATCAAAAATCTCTGGTTAATGCTAAAAAATATCACCTGATGCAGCGACGTACACGTGTTGAGAAGTGAAACTTCTCAAAAACTATTCCCCCCCGCATACATTTTTTAGACTTGGCGTATGAGTCGGGGTAAAGACGAAGGACCACACAAAAGGAAGACGCGCATCTGTAATGACGTCACAAGGGTATTGGCGCTTGACAATAATAGCCAATCCTCTTTGCGTATAATCCTTGCTTTGTGTCAATCAATGGCTGTCTTTCTCTGTTTCTATACGTTTTATCTTTCTTCTCTCTCGTGTAACGCAATGGGCCTAAACCTGATGACGCGTCTTTCAAATCGCTCTCCATTTGCATCCAAATAT